GAATCAACAATATATCTATATACGTAAACGTTTAAATATAGCTCAGTATTGTTATGTAATCTGAATTTTCTAGAAAATATTCCCATGCCTATAAATACAACCAACGCGACGCGCCAAAGTGAGTGTCTATTAGTAGTTCGCTATAGTCAGTGTGCTATAAACTTCGAAAGCTATAACTGTAATTGTTATAACGCTTATCAATCGGAAAACTTAAGATATTTGACCAGGGATATTTATAAATCGAACGTTACAAACTGTCTAACTTCAGTGTATTCTCATCGGACATTAGTATTTTTACGAAAACATTACCTAACTTCAACGAACCAAAAATACAGAGTGTGTGTGGCAAAGGACAAAGCTAGCTCCATATTTAAAGTTAAATACCTAAACGTTTGTTGTGTCACCACTTTTGTTGTAACTTATGGAACCAAAGAAACACGATAAAGTAAAAAAGAAGAAGAACAGAACCTAGCAAATTCAATGACGCATTGTATATATACACAAGTGTAAAATACTTTTTATAAAATAATCCCTACCAACAATTAGCCTAAATTCTCAAACAACATAAACGAATCTGATATCCAAAGCAAGAAGAATAGTTAAACTGGTGAGTCGCTTCAGAAAACAGTGCTCATTATAATAAAAAAAATAGATACATTTGTATTTCATAATAAAAACGTCAAAAAACAAAGCTAATACACGTAGCTAATCTTAATGATAAAAATGATGTTTGGTCACTGAAAACTTCCGATATATATAAACCAGAGTTTATAAGAATTGAAAAAGATAAAATAAGTTTAACTTTCACGTGCATTATCAGGGAAATAGAACAAAATTCAATTGAATAACCTACGAACTCGTTCGATGAATTTGTACACCAAACAATATCTATAAAATGATATGAGTTTTTTGTTGTTAATCACAAAACTGTACAATTCGCTATCTGTGTTCTTCCTATCATGGGTATCAAAACCAGAATTTTAACATTATAAGCCCTTAGACTTATCGCTGTGTCACCAGGGGAAAACATGTCAAAGAAACATAAAATATAACTTAATTCAATATGCGCAATATGATGTCATATAATTTCTATTTTGGTTTAGAAAATTATTTCATAATGAAATAAGAAAACCTTTAATTAATTTTTAACTTGTAAGTTATCTAGAATGCAGCTTTATTCTCTTTAGTATTTGTATCAAAATTATCCGTATGTATTGCTAAAATCAGAAAAACATTCTAGTTTATTGCAGAGTTAATGAAACATAAATTTGGACGAAATTTTTTATTAAATAGATTGCCTTTCTAAATAAATGATGTAGAGTACCTGTAGTAGAACTCGTTACAGTTCATAGAAAGATGTGAAAAGTCCACATATGTGGTAGTCTACTTGGATTGCCGATGTATGTCTGTGGACTTACAACGCTAGAAGCTGGGTTTCGATACCCGTGGTGGCCAGAACACAGATAGCCCTATGTGTAGCTTTTTGCTTAATTACAAACAAACAAAACAAACCATACCCCTATCGGTGTGCTGTATACCATATTTATTATAATATTTTTTCATTGAAATTCAAAACTCAGAATAAACAAAGTTCAAGTCCATGTTTCATACAGACGAATCATTACTACTTTAAAATAAGAATATTTTGAGTTATTTGTTCGTAATTCTGGAGGGTAGCTTACACTTTTTTTTTAAAAAGAACTTTAATACAGGTTATGTTTGGACTGACTTCATTCAGGATAATATATCACTTCTATACAATCAATAAAATCTAAGAAAATATATCCATCGATGTTTCTCAATATTTCACTTAAATTTTGTGAGTAGGATGGAGGAGAAGAGTACTTTACTGGCAAAGAAGGATAAAAATAGTATTTCTTGACATATTGTAAACAAGGAATGGGGAAATAGTATTTTGTTGATATATAACGTTTAGGAGAATATTTTGTTGAAAAGGAATTTGGAAAGTATAATTTTGTTGACAATTAACGTGTAGAAGAATATGTTGTTGAAAAGGAATGTGTAGAAGATAATTTTGTTGACATTTAACGTGTAGAAGAATATGTTGTTGAAAAGGAATGTGTAGAAGATAATTTTGTTGACAAGTAAAGTAGATAAGAGTATTTTATTAACAAGTAACACGTAAGAGAATATTTTGTTGACAATTAACGTGTAAGAAAATATTTTGTTGAAAAGGAATGTGGAGAAGATAATTTTGTTGACAAGTAAAGTGGAGAAGAGCATTTTGTTGAAAAGGGATGTGAAAAAAAGTACCTCTCAGTTTATTCGTCAGCGTCACTTTTATGATATAATTTCTACGATTTTTTAATATTGTAACAATAGCTTTTATCTGAATTTGACAGTGATTTAATTTAAATTTGACATATGGTGTGTAGGTATAAAACAATTTAAATTAGCTCTGCTAAAGCTAGACCAATACAATTTGGTTTTTATGACCGGCCGAGTATATTATTGTTATTTGTGTTTTTGTTAATGATTTGTTTAGTTTAATTAATGAATCAATTTATTTATATTCGTCATATCGTCTCATTATATCTAAGGCAGGATATATTAATAAATATAAAATCTTCATAATCTGCAAAGCCTTTCAACTTTGTATAACATTAGCGTCTAAATCATCTATACTCTTCACACCATTTACAAGAACAATATTAAAGAACGGACGCGATGACCCGGGTTATTCTCTTTATCACTTTCAGTATGTTTAAAGAATTATAATAAAAAGGAGTAAAGTGCACGATAATCCGATCCATTCTGTTGTTACTCTCTCAAAATGTCTAGGTAACTAACACAAAGAAGAATAACGTGGGCATGTTAATCCGTATCAATCTTATTTTACCCTTTCATAATGTCTCAGTAGCTATAATAAAAATTAACTTCAGACTACAATATGTAGTAGTTATTTGGAAATTTAAACTTTACATAGCTATGTTTCTCCGCCTTGGCCGTACAGCAGATACACGTAGCTAATCCTTAATGATAAAAACTGAATGTTTAGGTTCACTGAAAACCTTCCGGATATAGTATAAACCCAGAC